CGACTAGTTAACGCCGACTCGACTTTTACTACATTTCATTAAATTACAGTTGACTTCTGCCTAATGTTACTGATACCCTGATGTGACGGTAATGTAGTGTTTCTTTAAAATGATGTGTTTGACTTCTGAATGTGTTCAGTACCTGGACACTGGAAAGGTATAAACGGTCCGTCTCCAGAAGTCTCCTCTTCCCCGTCGTTGTCGTCGTTCTCTGTTTCGTTGCCCACCTCTTGGTCATTGCAGTGACTGAAACCCCTTGTTCCACTGGACAGTCCATTTTCTAAGCTCCAACTGTTCCTCCCTCGTACCGGAACGTCAGAGTCGCCATTGTCCCAGGTCTTTGTGCTGATAAGACGCTGCCTCTGCACCGTGAACGCAAACACAAAGCACAAAAGCGGAAATTTGGATGAACCTAGCGCTCACATTTTTTTTATGTGTTTTCCAATACACCATAAAGCAGTGTGGTAGTGTGTATTCAGCACCAAGGCCTTCAGTGCTCATCCTGCCTGAATAAATCCACATCTTGAATGATGTCATTACATTAGCTATAATCTAGTTAGACTTAAGCTGGCTATGGCCTAAGCTTTGGTTATGAGGCAACCGAGGTCAGCTCATCCATGTGGTACGTGGTTGGAGTGTTTGGGCTGTGATAAAAAGTCTCTCTTGTTAATACTTACATTGTCTTAGACCCCTCCGGTGCTGAGGCATTTAACCTCCTCAGCTAAGATATGGCTCCCTTTGGGTTCTTTTCTCCTCATTACTCCTGATACCTTTTTTGTTTTGTTTGGCCGAAAACAAATGGAATTCTTCATACTATATTTCCCTAATGTGGGACGAGAAATTAAAATAATCACAAGGTAATGCTAGCTTACAAATTACCGTATTTTCCGGATTATAAATCACACTTTTTTTTGTCCTTTGGCTGGGTTTGCGACTTATATTGAGGTACAACTTATATATTAAAATATATAATTTTGTTATTTTCACAGTGACAGCCGCTAGAGGGCACTCTAGACTTATGTTCCAGTATCTGCTACTCCTGTACCACTGAAAATTGACATGTTTGTTATTTTCACACTGACAGCCACTAGAGGGCACTCTAGGCACGTGTACCAGTATCTGCTACTCCTGTACCACTGAAAATTTACATGGCTGTTATTATCACACTGATGGCCGCTAGAGGGCACTTTAGCTGGCTGGTGCAACTTATACAATACAGTGAGTTTAAAAAAGTAATCAGAACTGCTGTTCCTCTGTAAATACATATGGCAAAGACTTATAAAGACTGTTGTTTTTAAGGTGCGGCGACATTGACTTGTATTTTGTTTGGAATTTTTTTTCCATTATGTTTCTAACTAATATTTTGCCTGTTAACGATGAATTCCAATGAGATATGTGGTCATTTGCTCCCTTCACGCAGGAGGTCAGTGGTCGGTGTCTCACCTCAGTGATGAGCATCCGTGATGCCATGGTGAGGCGGGTTCTGGGGGAGAAGTGACTGGTCATCATGATCCTCATCCCCACATCGGAGAAAGACAGCTGGTGTGGGTACGTTGACAACAGCTCGTCCACCATTATGACCGAGGGCTTCCTGTTGTTTGCTAAAACATGATAAATCATGGTTAATCAGACTCGTAATTAATTATGATCAATCCCCCAAACTTCATTTTCTGTATGTTGCTGGAACAGACTGTATAAACATAACGAGACATAGTTACAGTAGCTACATATTTTTGTTTTGATTTGACATTTTTTCACTATTCAAAACCCCATCATTTGTATTACCGTATTCTCCGGACTATAAGTCACACTGGAGTATAAGTCGCAACAGTGCCCTCTAGCGGCAGTCAGTGTGAAAACAATGAACATGTGAAACTATTTATTTTAATATACAAGTCGCACCTGAGTATAAGTTGCAAAGGATGAAAAAAAGTGCAACTTATAGTCCGGAAAATACGGTAATCACCAATAAAAACAGATGTGAAACACATCCACGTGCTGTTATTTGTAGATTCTTCCAGCAAATACAGTAAAAAGTAAAAGTAATTAATGTTGAGAGAATAATTCAGCAAAATGACTAAAGCACTTCTGATAGGATTTACAAAGTTCTTAAGAATTTTGTTAACCAATGTGCCTGCTGTTATCCACCGTTTGACTTTTACTGAAACTCACAGTCGGTGGAAAAACACTGAAACCACCTTATGTGTTTGCCGTCGATGGGAAATGCTACTCCTAATCTGTTATCCGGTTCCTGCAAGACCTTGACAATTGCATGGACATACTCCCTGATTTGGAGTTTTTGTTAGGCCAGATAGTCTCACAGGTGGCAGATAATGTCCCATGTGGTATTTGCCCCCACTCATATTCTTGTACACACACACACAGATGTATCCAGAACACTGTAAATGTACCTAGTGATAAAAAAAAAAAAAATTACCTTTCTTCAGTAGCACAGCTGCGGCATCGCAGCCATCATCCAGGACAGCGTTACTGGGCCGTGCTTTTCTGCTGGAGGACTTTTCCTTTCTCTTTTCAATGAAATTAACTATGCAGGAGTTCATCCTGGAACAGGAGTCACAAGGTTTTTGCGCAGAAACACATTTAAGCTAACATATGGAGCTGGAAGATAAGCAGGTCTTTAATGTCCTTTCTTATGTACAGAACATTTTTTTTAGATGTGGCTTTTTATCCCGATAAAGTCACTTAGGTGTTTAAAGGGTTGTAATCTAGATTTCGATTTTGACATGCGCTGATGGAAACACCAAGAATTCTCTGCTTAAGTGAGAAAATCGCAAAAAAAGACCGAACAGTACACCATGATAAAATGTACTTATTACTATTTACGAAAACAATTGACTTATTCAGTGTTAAACCTGTTCTTGTTTACTTGAAAACAAGTCTGATATATTTGCAGGAATTGAAGAAAGACACGCATAAAGCCAATTGTGTAATATCAATTATATAAAAGAATAAGATATTTGCCAATTATGTAATTTCAATTATATAAAAGAATAAGATATTTGTCTTTTTTTATTAAATATACAGAGCTGCTCACAATACTCCAATAGCCTGAGAAAAGCAGTCATTTCAGATGAATTCCAGTGTAGACTCAATCACTTACTTCATTATCAGGATGTAGACGAAGTACATCAGAATCAGTGTCAGAGCCTCCCACCTGAAACACAATAGTTTATATTGGGAATTATTTCTGAAGTGAAACTTTTGATCGCAATACAGTTAAAATGCTCTTTTGGACGCTTGACTTACCAAACAACTTTTTCATCATATATAAACTGTGGAAGAAAGAGATAAAAAAAAAAAATCAACATCACATGCTTCATCGAGTAAAACATGAAGCTACTCCCTCTTGTGGTCGCCTTGGCACATCGTTGGCCATCAATCTCTCAAATCTCCTAAATGTTTGTACGTTAGTTCTCTATCCCTGCTGATGAGGACCACTCTGGTTAATAATGATTCTATTCTCAGAATTGCCCGACTATTTGAGAAATACTGGACTAGTGGCTCCAGGATCTCACATTTTTATTTGCAGATTTCCAACCAGCATTTTTCAGACTTTTGCAGGTGCGTTTAAATTCTGCAGATGCTCAAAATCTATGAAATACACTAGTGATTCCCGACCACTGTGCCGTGGAAAATTATCCACTGAAAAAAAAAAAATTCACTGAAAACTATTATTTATTTGTTGCATATAATTTTTCTTCGCTTGTCAAAGCATGAACGGCAGAACCATTTAATCCTCTCCTGCTAGGTGGCAGCAGAGGGCTATGAAAACTAAGAAAACAAAAATAATCAGAGCTGTTGAAGATTATCTTTCTTCAATTCCTGCCACTATATCAGCGTGGTCTTCAACTAAACAGGCTGAGATTTTAGTCAATTATGAGGTCATCTAAACTAGAAGATTATTATCATTTTTTTATTACATATACTTTTTTGTGAGATTTTCTACTGTTACTTACCACAATGAGTGCGGTGATAGATAGAGTGTAGTACGAGGAGTCTCTCAGCAGAGGCCAGCAGGACAGATGGATTGTCTGTGACAGACGGATATCACAGATATTACTTTGCATTAAATCTTTTCAACACATTTACAGACAGACGGACATATAGATCGATAGCATACGTCCGGGGTCAACTTGAGGTCAGACCCCCAGCATGCTTCACGATCACAGGATATTTTATTTTTGCGTGTGTGCGTGTGTACTGTAAACTGTACCTGAACAGAGAAAATCCCACAAACTCCAATGATACACAGGATGTTGAAGACTGCTGAGCCCACAATGGTGCCCACCCCAACATCGCCTTTGGTGATGAACACCCCTGTATAAGAAAAACACAAAAACGAATCAGCACATTTGGAGTCATGGAGACCTAGCTTATTTCCCTGACGGTCTACAGACCACAGAGTTGCAGTCAAAATATCAACATCCGACTGTTCAACAGTCACTATCAAATATTATAATCATGATTGCTCAGTACGATATATTGCAATGTATTGTATTTATTTTCGTTGCTTACTCTCTCACTCTCTCTCTCTCAGTAATACACTGCTTTGTAGAATCACCGCTGGCATTTTGCCCTTTAATCAGGTGTCACAACATTGGTAGTTCTAGAGCGTATTGTTTTGGCACAGTGTTTGAGTCCGATGGCCTTTATGACGTAACCATGTCTGTTAGGGAACGAGATAGACCCAGGACGTTGGTGCAAATATTAAAAAAAAAAAAAATTCATATGACACCTGTGAACTCTGTGCCATTTGTTTTACAGGAGGAGCAAGGATTTTGGTCTGCTCTCAAGTCTGCGACCACAGGTAGGACTTTCGTATTTTTTACTACTGTACGTACTCATTGAATATATACACTGCACTGTAGTACATACTACGTACAACATACAAAATACTCTACGTGTTCTGTTGGGATCATGTAGTACAGGTCGAGCTCAAATGCTTAATGGAACGGTCGAGTGCGTTTATTAGGCCTACGATGCATTTTTAGATATCTATGCTAGGTCAGCAGACCCAGTCTGTGCCTGAGAAATTCAAATTTTATCAATGCTAACCATTATAAGAATGGACTCAAATAGATCGGGATAAGTGCTGACAAAGTTTCCGCGCTCTACGTGCACGAAAAGCAAAAAAAATTGAAACAAAGTTTAATACCGGTTACCCCAGCGGGCAAATTTGTTTTTGTATTTTTTGTGTTTGTATCTTGTCAAATAAACACATGATACAAGAACATTTAGCGCATTTAACATTTAGTATTTTACTAGGACTTTCTAAACAGTGACAGGAAAGCCATAAGGATTTACAATAAAAGACAAAATATAGGAAAAAAATAATTAATAAATTGTACAGTTCCCTTACACCTATCGATTAGCCATTTTAAACAAAACAAAAAATTATAGATATTACATGGTGCGATGTAAACAAACTGCAGTCAGTGTTATTCTCACCAATGACAGAAGTGAACAGCTCGGGAGCAGAGCTACCTGCTGCCATGAAAGTTGCTCCGGCAACATCTTCGCTCAAATGAAGATTCTTATGGAAAGATAAAAAAAAAAGGAGAAAGAAATGAAGAACAAAAGAAAGGAAAAAGCAAGAAAGAAAGAAAGAAAAAAAAAGCGCGTCAGCGGTGTCCGGCCTTACCTCGCATATCTTCTCGAGAGAAGGGACGAAGTAGTCATCGCACACAATGGCCAGGGCGTAGAACATGTAGACGGCCTGTGAGGGTCAGCACACAGAGCACGCCAATGTAGCTGTTCTCAGAAAGTGTAAATACAGTACAGACATGCCACATATATGCCAGATATGCCACGTGTTTTCAGAAATATTTTTAGAATATTATGTAGATTCTACGTTCTTAATCCGTAGAGTATTTAGGGAATTTTGGATTTTTGGCAAAAGAAATGACAACCGTTTGTGTTTAAACTTCGTCACTAACTAAAGAGATCATTCTACTTAGTGTTTTACGATTTAGGTAAATTAATGTCAAGTATTGCGAATGCGAATAAAGGAAGAATCTAGATTAAAATAAAATAGAACGAAGAGGTGAATTACTTTCCCAAGTTTAGGAACTTTTGTAAATAAAGATGCTGATCTCTTTGCATCTGCGATACTACAGTAGCCCCGCCTCCTCTAGACTTAAGACACAGGTTCAAAACAGCCAAATTAGGCCTTACAGCAACATAAAAATTTAAAAAATCAAGAAAAAATAATTGCAAAAAAAAATTTCAAAAAATTGAAATAAAAAGAAATCAATGTCAAAAAGCAAAAAAAAAAAAGAGCACGTTTTTCTATCAGAAACAGCCACTGTATTAAAGTCATTCCCCGTTACTCTCCATTCTAAATCTAGTTTAAAGAAAAATGCCCACTTGTTTTTTTTCCTCTTCAAGCCCAGTCAGCCTTTTCTCTGCTCCTGGCTGCATGATAAAGTCTGTTGTTCAAAACACTCATGCATAATTCAACAGTTTAGTGTTTTCTTTAACACACAAACAATTACTCTTTGGCAAAAAAAAAAAAACCCAAGTTGCTTGCAAATAAGTTTAGTCTTGCCTGCTCGGCAATCCTCAACCTGCATTTCCTGTTCAGCGCCAGCTATCATCCAATGACAGGCTAGAGCAGGCGTGGGCAAACTAAGGCCCGGGGGCCGGATGTGGCCACTTCAGCACTTTAATCCGGCAAACTTTTCCAAATTATATAATTTATTTATATAGGCAGAAGTATAATGACTTCTGCCTTTCCCCTGCAATACCCACGTTTCCCCAATAGAGGGCATAGAAAATGAAGCATTTTATCATTTTAGCCTTTATGCATGACTTTTACATGTCATTTATCTTAGTTCGCACGATCGCTCCATCTATCTGCTCCTGACACGCCCCCCCTTAAATTTTAGGACAATTGTGGCCCAGCGAGTCAAGGGCGTAGAGGCGTGTCAACACCCGGGCTAGGATCCGTCTCTTAGTCAACGTTATCGGGCTACATTAAAATAGTGGGACATTTTTATTTCAATTAACGCTCAGCGTCAACCTGGGCTAGGATCCATTTCTTAATCAACGTTATCGGGCTACATTAAAATAGTGGGACGTTTTTATTTCAATTAACGCTCAGTTCTTTTCCAACGTCGCAAAGTAAAATACTCATTCGCGAAAATACTTCAGAAATGACAAATTGCTCACAAAAAAACGACTCGATCACTCAACAGTAACTTGTGTAATTGTTAGTTGTTACTCTCCACCTCCGGTGGCATGTGAATGCAGGTTATATGCAGTGAGTACACGCAAGGGTGACGGTAACAAGACACAGGTGACGTACATGATGAGACAGGCGGGTAATCACAGGAGTGGAAAACACAGGAAGGCAAGTGCAGACAATCACAGAGAACGGGGGGGCGGAGAAGAAGGGACGGCCTGAAACAAGACACAAGTGGGTAAGACACAAAAAAAAAAAAACAGTGACGAACAGAAATGGTCAAGAACAGTGTCTTTTCTATTGACGACAACCAGCTAAACATTAGCGCAGCGCTACGTGCGTCGTTTTGCAGATTACTGTCTATTGACTATTAATGGTTCGATACATTGCAATACATTCTAATATATACAGTATATAGGCAGCATAAAGGGAAAAATCGTTTTAAATTTAAAGTCACGTTCATCAAATTCAAAAGATCGGTCATTGATTTAAAAGGATTGCTGCGTACTTAGTTTGGCTAGGGCTGTCAAAGGATTACAGTTCGTAATCTGTTTAATCTGTGAAATCGCGACGTATTGTGGTCATAATTAATGACAATCAATCATGATTGTTTGAGATTACTAATCTAATCGTGATTAATAATACTTCAATGACACAAAGTATTTCTGGAACAGGAGTACAAATAACATCAGGTAGATGCGTGTATCACACCGCTGTTAGTGGACCACTGCTGTAATGCTTGAATGATGACAAGCCTCCAGCCACTAGGTGGCAGCAATTCATACATTGGTTTGTACAGCTAAAAATATACATGTTATCAGGTTCTCGGTAGTATTTCAATTCACGGGACTGGGGGTGGGGGGTGTGAAAATATTTCTGTCCTCTAGGGGGGGGCATGACAGAACTGGACTAATCCAACATTGTCAAGAAAGACACGAAAGAACAACCCAAAGTTTAGCCTCATACCGTCAGTAGATTTGAGTCATTACTCCGCACCTTGATGTTGGTTTGAAGAACGTTTATGTGCCTCCGATACTTACACACAGCGCATGCAGGCCCACAGCTCCTTCAGCTCGCTCTTTGTTGGTAAAGTAATCCCTGGGAAACTCGTGTATGGCTGTGAGAAAAAAAAGAGAAACACACAGGAAGACGAGATAAACTCGAAGCAAAACGACAGAAGTTGAATCATCACGTTATCTTTTCGCATGGGAAGTAAAAAGTTTGAAAATACTGTCGCACTACTTTTGGCAAAAAAAAAACAAAAAACTATAATATAATATAATAATATAAGAATATAAAGATTTTAGACAGAGCTATAAAACAAGCACAAAGAGGTAAAGAATATAAAAATATTAGACCAGTGGTATCAAACAAACCTCAGGTGAAGAAACTCTGCTGCATGAACTTTATTAAATGCTTTTTAAGCTCCTGCGGGCCACACAAAATAGCTTGGTGGGCCGCATTTGGACCCCCGGGCCTTGAGTTTGACACACATGCTATAACCTAAGGCCTAATGCTTAACTGAAATAGAGAACAACTAAGAGAATGTGAAATGGTGATATCAAAAATTCACAGAAATAGACAAACGTCCCCTCTCTGTTTTTCATGCCTCTCTCTCTGTCTGTCTGTCTGTCTCTCTCTGTCTTTGTTTCACTGGTTCCCTCGTGCCCTGTACACACAGTTAATACCATAAAATCAATCCTCTCTCTCCTCGGACCAACAGGAAGATTATAAAGCACTGAGAGCTTTAGGATGCGCGCCCCGATGACACGAGTCTGTCGTCTTTACCATTCTACCGTTCCGTCTGTAAAACCGTCAAAAGTTTCCAAGCCCGCGATCCCTGTCCTCAGGACACACACAAACACTACGAATCAAAAACGCATTCCTTTACGTGCTACACATTAGCCTCTCATAACACACAACGGCTATGCTCAGATTAACAGATGGCATGATATTAATCCCATGTCCTGCTCTCACTCCCACTCTCTCTCTCTCTCACTCTCTATTTCCTTCCCTCACTCGCTCTCTCTCTCACACACATACACACACAGGTACTGCATATCTGGTATCTAGGGCTTTTGAAAAAAAAAAAAATGTAATTTTTTTAAAAAAGATCTTCCCTGGCAAAAGAAGCTTTTCAACAAATTTTATACTGTTAGTTAATAATATATATATATACACATATAAATGTATATATATATATAAATATATATATATATGTGTATGTATATATATAAATATATATATACATATATGTGTATATATATAAATATATATATACATATATGTGTATATATATAAATATATATATATACATATACTATACTTCCATACAGCTACATGTATTTAATTAGTACTCCAACATTTAATAAATATATGAAGTATTTTCAGTTTATATGAGTGAATATATATTTATATTTTCATTGTAGGCAGATCAATTTAGCCTGGTCATTTCAATACATATGTGTATATACATATATGCATGTATATACTTTTATGTATATATGTATATATATGTGTGTGTGTGTGTATATACACATATATACTTTTATGTATATATATGTATATAGGTGTATGTATATATATATACTGCATATCCATACAGCTACATGCATTTATATGAGTGAATATACAGTATATTTAACATTTTGACTGGAGGTCAGTTGTATTGTATTGTCAGTTTAGCCTGGTCATTTCAACAGCGGCTCCAGAGCCTAAACAGTGTGGACAGCCCTGGTCTGGAGCCTGAGTTTGACTTTGACCATTTAGTTTCTTGGAGTAACAGCAGTAAAATTTTAGTTAAAGATTTTTACATCCTGATGAGCTAGTTTTCAGATCCATGCTACGCTGCCTGTTTGTTTCCGTTGTTCATTTGTTTTCCCTGTTTTTATACATCTCCCATAATGCAACTTAACGTAACCCATTCAGACAGCCGTACCTGGGTCAGTGCAGTTTTTCTCTGGCTCCGAATAAAAATTGGACACGTTGTCGTAGACGTCTTGTAAAAGCTGGCGATTCCTCCACGTTGCCTTCTCTACAGCCATGGAAGATTGGGATCCTGAAAAAAAACAAAACAAAAAAAACACAACATTGCAGATTGCAATTTGTCCCATTAATACAGTTCAAATAATTCAAAAGAGCTCAACTCTAACGATACACAAAATTTATTCCGAAACATTTTAACTAAACTCAACGCAGCGCAACTTCCTTCTGCACTCAGTCCGGTTAAAGCAACTACATGAAAACGACAGGTTCCAGGTCCGATTCCAGATTTTAGATCAGTCCCAGAGAATAGAATATTTTCAGTGTGGCAGCGCTCAGGACAGAAGTTAATAATTGATACCACGTGGGACATTGTACAGCTGGTCTAAATTCTTCGGTTTCCCAGACTCAGACAATGAACAGGCAGCGTTGGTTGGAACAGTATGTACAACGGGTTCATGGTATCTGGGGTAACGGTTGTTAAACCTGGCACAGGAGTCGTTATGACTGATTGGAAGCATAGTGTCCAGGATGGTTCTGGAAGGTTCTCTATATGGAGCTCAAACAGACTGTATTACTTATTTACTTCTTTGTTGTCTCCAGATTTGAAATGCTTAATGTTTAATTGAATGGGTCATTGAACTGAGGTTTTTGATTAAGAAAACCATGGAGAGTTTTGATGGGAATAAGCTAATGGCCAAGATTTACCAAACTGAACTGTTGGTAAAGCAGAGTATGGACTCCTGATATTAGAATCACAGTGGACCAGGGTTTCACTGTCCACACACTAGGGAATTACTCTGGTATATAATGGATGGATGGATGGATGGATGGATAGATGGATGGATGGATGGATGGAAGGATAGATAGATAGATGGATGGATGGATAGATAGATGGATGGATAGATGGATGGATGGATGGATGGAAGGATAGATGGATGGATGGAAGGATGGATGGATGGATGGATGGATGGATAGATGGATGGATGGATGGATAGATGGATGGATGGATGGATGGATAAATGGAAGGATAGATGGATGATGGATGGATGTATGGATAAATAGAAGGATAGATGGATGGATGGAAGGATAGATGGATGGATGGAAGGATAGATGGATGGATGGATAAATGGAAGGATAGATAGATGGATGGATGGATAGATCCTGATTGTCCTCTGATATGATGAAGAACATGCGTCAGCTGACATACTCAATAGTGGTAGAATTTGACTACATTTCCGTGACCTAAAAGTTGAACTGATAGCTCTCAGCGCAGCACACCCTGTATGTGTCAGCTCCTTACCAACTCACTGTGCTCCTGAAGCAGTGCTCAAGTTTGGTACTTGGTGGGAGCACACAGAGCTTTTAACATCAGGAGAAAAACCTGTTGCGCATCATATTTTGGATTTAGCACCACTTACTGCTATTTTTTAACAAAAGCCGCTCCTATTATTAAAAAGTGAAGCTTACATCTTCTCCCCCTGACCCAGTTTGTGCAGAAAATACTGCAGCAGATGTGGCAGCGAAGGCAGCAGCCTTATCAGGCTCATTCTTTAATATCACTCAGTTCTACCCCCCACGCAAGCAACTCTCAGTCCACATGCTGCGTAACTGCACTTTAATCCGATTGCATTTTGTGATAGAGTTTTCTATCACAACATACTCTTTTTACAGTACCTATGGATCAGCCAGCCTGACGAGTAAAGGCATTTTCTTTACATGTTATGCAAACGTTTGGAGTCTTCCCAAATTCTAAGCTAGTATCAATATTTGTAGCACAATTGCTAAGAGGGTAATTATCCATTGATGACAGATTTGCGGTGACATTAATTTTTTTAGGTATAATTATAGAAGAAAAGATGACGTCGGAAGAACACGGAGGTGTTTCCTGATTAAAAAAAAACAACGAAAAAAAATGAAAAAATGAGATCTAAAGAGTACGATTTTTCGTAAAGGCTATATTACTTTTAGCATTGTTTAATAGTTTAATCTATCTAGCTGTGACTTATGGTAATATACAGTATTACAGGCCAGTACTTTAGTAAGTCATTCCAATAGACTTCATAGTTACTTCATAAGAATACTGTAGCTACTTTTAAAGCATACATGCATGTTTCGGGGTGCTCCTCTAATTTTCAAATTCAAAGTGTTAACCAACAGTACTCCTCAAATATCTTCATTTGTCCACAGTGTTACTCTTAAAAGTTCCATGTAATCGTATCATTCCTAAAACAAAACAACAACAAAAAACCCCAAAAAATAAAACTTGGTTTCACCTATTTTCACTACAAAGTCAATTCCTTATTTAATTTTGAAACATTTTGAAACACTTATGGAATAAATATTCGTACTTGTTACAGCTTTTAGTGACATTGTTATATATATATATATATATATATATATATATGTGTGTGTGTATATACATATATAAGTGTATATATGTATATATGTGTGTATATACATATATAAGTATATATGTGTATATATGTGTGTATATACATATATAAGTATATATGTGTATATATGTGTGTATATACATATATAAGTATATATGTGTATATATGTGTGTATATACATATATAAGTACATATGTGTATATATGTGTGTATATACATATATAAGTATATATTTGTATATATGTATGTATATATGTATACATATATAAATATATACACACACACACACATATATATATATATATATATATATATATATATATATAGTATTTTTCCAAAGTCATCTGTGGTACTTTTGGAGTACAGTATCCATATACAAATATCTTTGTATAATTAGTACGTATTTCTTATCCTTAAAGTCTCTAGGGTAGATAATGGGCTGTAGTTAATCCAGCAGCAACTGTCAACATAATGGAACGTTGACTCTTAAATGTTGCATAATAATGTATCTGTGCTCGTCATGCATCGTGACATGGACTAAAACAGGACGTATGGAAAGCAAAGATCTGGTTTGCCAGCAGGATTATGGCCCGTTGCTTGTCTACTCTCGGTGTTTAGTTGGATAATGTAATTCCGCAGCTTATGTTCTTAACGTGTTGGGTTTTTAATATTTATGTAAACGTATTAGTTTTGAGTACGAAAGTAGACAATGGTTTGAATCTTTTGTTTAAACAGTCTTATTTTTAAAAAAATATTTTACATATTTTTTAAAAGTTGCTCCTTCTTAGAAAATATTAGGAGACTGATTTTTTTTGTCTTATAATATATAATAAATAATCAGATTTCTGATTTTTAGGATTAGATTAAAAATTTTGTAATTGAACCAACATTTTAAGATATTTAATATTTGTGTTCTGTATAATTTTTTTCTATTTTTTTTTTGTCACAAAAAGAGACAATTCTGTTGAAATTTGTTGTGCACAGTAACCAACAGTAACTTTTTTTAAAAACATGTTGCTGTGAGCACAGACACCACAGTAGCCCGCCCACAGCAGAACAGATGACGTGATGTAACAGCGGTAACTGCACTGTGACTTTGCTCTAATGCAGACGTGTCCATTAACGGCTCAAGGGCCACATACCATCTCTGAAACAATGACATTTACTCAACTGATAAGTGCACAAAATACAACGGCACAGCCTGTATATTTATCCTGAAAGCAACCTTTATGGGTTTGTTTACCGTATGTACCATAATCTGTACGGTCAGTCTACACAAGCTGCCACTGTGCAACATTCAAGATCGGAATACCCAAGCATTTGATGGTATAACAGTTGGTTAGTTTGAATATTTTTAGATGAAAAAAAAAAGTATAAATTAATCACGTTTAACGTATCTATATGCAGCAAGGCTCATAACCAGTCTGTTAACACTTAGTTGCACACACCAAATGCAATACATCTTAAACTGCAAAAATATACAACAATAATAATAATAATAATTTGTATTCCCAGTATGTGAATTTGGAAAAGGAGTATATTAATATTTAAAAGTCCTGTCTATAAAAAAAGAGTGAATGTGATTGGTCAATACATGTGATCGGAAGCTCCGATATTCAGTTATTTACTATGCAGTAACACCAAAATCGCCTTTTTAAGCCATGGATTATGGATTAATGGATAAAAAAAGCCTATAATTTTCTTATTGAGGAAAATTGATTAATTACTTGTCGCAAATTTTTTTTTTAATTTCCATTTACCTCACAGCTGACGAGATGGTTACATCCAGACTGCAAAGTCTGGAATTGGTCTCTCAACCCTATGGTTGCAAGTAGCCAGCTGGATTTTTCACTGCAAATACTAATATAGCAATATATTAACATTAAATAAAATACATATTAATAATAATAATAATACTGCTACATATACTAGTATAAATATATATGAATTATACAAGCTAAGATGAGAAAATGAGGATGATGACCATGGTACCAAGAACCCCCAACATTCAAAATCATTTGTATTCCAGGTATTGCATATATATATATATTTATTTTTCTTCTTTTCATACGCAGCACATTTACACTCCACATGCAGCTGTAACCAGCTGGATACTGCCGTCTATCTCTTGTACCTAATCCAAGCCACACAGGGCAGCACTACAACACAACCACTTCAGAGGATTATTACTGACAGATGCTGAGCTACAAGACTGTTATTGTAGTGCTTCAAAAATGTCTACAAATGCACTGTCCCGCCCCAGAGTTGTATCCAAAGAAGGTTAGATCAGTACAGCCCCATGATGCTGTTGCCTCCCATGGTTATCTTTTTTTTCTTTTCTTTTTTTTTTTTGTATTTTCAGAAGTAATTAATCAATTTTCCTCAATAAGAAAATTCTAGGCTTTTTTATCCATTAATCCATGTCTTAAAAAATTTGGTGTTACTGCATAGTAAATTACTCAATATTGGAGCTTCCGATCACATGTAATGACCAATCACATTCACTCTTTTAATATTAAATTACTACTTTTGCATTAGAACGTTATGAAAATGAATATAGTCTTTTTTCCAATTTTACATTTTTTTTTATTTTAAATTGTGTTCTGTTGTTGTTAATGTATATTTTTGCAATTAAAAATGTATTCATTTGCTGTGTCTTTTAAAGAGCGGGACTGTGTCTAAAATTCTATTTTACATTTTAAAAAACTGCAGGATACACTGCAGCCGTGCGAAGTAGTAGACAACGCAGAATTGATATTTATCTGGGCCTAAAATGAGCTTCTCCCGTTTCAGCAGCCAGCAGTTGCATAACTAAATAAATGCAATCATTGGTGTAGTTCAATTATTAATGTTGTTGTAATTAGACAGACAGACAGACTGACTGACTGACTGATGCACTGTTTGACTGACGGGTGTCCTTCAGGTGTCTCTCACCTGCTCTCTGTACCACAGCCTGGAGCCCTGCCACCAACCCCAGCACCGCCCCCGTGTAGCACATCTGGAAGCCAAACGATTCCTTTCGCTTCCTCCGTCTTTGCCCCCGCCAGTCCAACATCCGTCTTCTTCCTCCTCCATCCGCTGTCTCTGTCATCCCGTCAAAATAAGAAAGCCACGGCGCGCAAATTGCACGGTCGTTAGGGAGCGAGTCCGTTCTGTAGCCGCAAATGTCAAAGAAGCCCTGGAAGGCACCAAAGACTTAGCAGCGCCGCGTAGCCTTATGGCAAATACCACCCATTGCTTGGCAATGTGTTTGTCCAGTAAACCACAAGATTGTCGTAGGGGATTTCCGGTGTTGATTTTCAAAATAAGACTAAACGTTTGCCATTTTGAATCGCGAGTGATGACTATTTTAAATGTGAAAGAATCATTAACTCCTGAAAGGGTTGATAAACGCGTACTTTATACTTTTCCATTTGTGATTATATTAGTTTGTTTATCGTTCGATATTCCTATATTTTAAGAACAGAATTTTGTTTATTATCAATTATATCTTCTTAAATATCTTGTATACGTGTAAGTTGTATTTTTTCTAAGATGTAAAGACATTATTACTCGACTTTCAAGATTTTAATCTCATTTTAGCAAATGATAAAACGTTATAAACGAAATGATGTGCATTAAGGAATTCTCAGGTTATTTTTTTTCTAATTTTTTATTTTTGTTGTTGTTGTTATTTTGTAGTAGTAGTAGTAGCTACAGCAGCTAACCCTGCTGTAGGTTTGTTTTCTTCCCTGTGAAAACGTTGACCGCTTCCTTATTGACAAAGAACATTAATTAATTTAAAATGTGCAACATTTATGTGCTTTATCTTTATTAAAACTCGTTGTAACCTTGTTCTGCTTCACATTAGCACATCAAACCATGCAGAAAATAATACAAAAAAAAAAAGCCATTGTGTCTGTCCTCTTTGATGTGACGCAATGGCTTCTTCTCTGCCCCTCACACCTCTGATGAAATCTGCCACGGATGAACTGCACAGACTTTGTAATTGTTTTGTTTATTTTGGTCTTTTTCCAGCAGGAACTTCACAAGGATCCATGGGTTTAAAAGAGAGAAAGTATGAATTCATTCTATTGGTATCGGCTGTGACTGCAAGATACCTATTGATTATTGGTTGGGATTGAAAAAAAAAAAAAAATCCATATGTTAATTTGAAGTACATGCCACTGACGTCAACATGCCACTAAAATACACCTCCATATTGACTGTGCTGAACATCACTGACGACATCACTGATGTGGTGAGAGCCATGTGCGAGTTCAGCCGTTCTTCACATGCTGGGATTACGTATAATCTTTTTTTTTTTTTTTTTTTTTTCCTGTTTTTCCTCATACTCATATGTATTGAAAATGTATATAGTAAAATATGAAAAGAGTACAAAAGTGTTCTTTTGAGTTCCTCATATATTTATATATATATATATAACATGACATCTCAACTGTTCCATAGTAGGTCTACTGTAAATATTGCCCCTATTGGCTACTTATGTAATACATGTTAGTCTGTCACCTGTGAGTTTCCCAGCAACTGTTTACAGTGAAAACCATGAGGTCCGGACTATTTAAAGCAGAGCAAGAGACTTTCTGGTGCATTCTCCTCTTGCCTGAAGGTAAGTCCTGAACTGTATTCGTTTATTCTATTTCTTTAAATCCTCCTTTTTTCTAAGGGTTTTTCCTATTTCTTGTCCTACAGATGTGGCACCTGGGTTTATTCACCCTCCTTGTTGGGGCGTCATTTGGTAAGTTGATCTTTCCCTTATAAAGGCTATTGAAATGTGTAACGCCCATATCACCAGTGGAGGAGGGCACTAAATCTGTCGTGCACTAAAGCAGATTCAACTATTCTAGAAATAATGGAGACTCATTTGGGCACAGTAGGGCAGATATGGATATATATGAAAGCACAGTACCGAGCGTGTACTGTTTCATGATTCAAGATATACCTGGTTTTATTTCTAAACTCTTGTTAGTGTTTTAATTTATTTAATTCATGATTCAAGATATACCTGGTTTTACTTGCTATGCCAATGCTTACTGTGAGGCCCAAAGTTTTTCAGGTAGTTTCCAACACACTGTGTGGTCCATTACTACAACCAGAAATGTACTTTCATGCTGTACATTCTTTACGTACATTTTAAAACTTATTATAAACATTCATTTCTGTTGTCAATTTACGACTCCCAAGCAATAAAACTGTTCTGTTTAAGTGAAAGGCTAGCTTATTTCCATAAAACTATCATTTTATATGCCATTCGTAAAACTAATGTATCAGAATTTCAGTCACTTTATATACATGGGAGTTTAAATAAAAAAACATTGGGTCTCAACATCGACCCTTGTGGGACACCAAAGGTAACGCTTTAGACGAACTAGCCTCGGAAGTTTCTGGCATCGTTTACGCATATAGGTACGGTAACTAGGTTTACAGACTGGAATCCAAGTATGATGACACTAACTAACAACCAAGCAGTGTCTGTCCATTATAGTCAATCGAATTTAGATGGTGTTTATATTTAGAAAAAGAATGTGAAAAATGTGAGTTGTAGGCCCATAAGTACCAGTGCCATACATGTTCAAGATTACAATTACCAAGACTTAACTATACCTCTTCCATACAAAGCCAAGCTGTTAAAATAATGGACTCAAACTATTATTGTGCTCACAGCTTCTGAGGTGTGTTATGATGAGCTGGGCTGCTTTGATGACATGGCTCCGTGGGGAAGCACTCCACAGAGGCCACTTCCTGTCCTGCCCTGGACCCCTGAAGAGATTGGCACTCGCTTTCTGCTTTTCACCAAAAGGAACCACTATTACCATGTAAGAAGAATATGCTAATATGCTTATATTTTTCGTCAAAATAATTCAGAAAACATGCTGCAAACCAAATCTGTCCTCCACCCATGTAGTATGTTAGCGTCTGGACTGATGGAGTAGGTTAGCATCTCTAAAGCTATACTATTTAGCTAGCATCCTCACCCGACGTAAAGTAGTTTATCTGTAAATTATTTGAGCTTGACCGGTTCAAGTGTAAATATTACACGCTAGATTAGGTTAAACCTGGTTAAAATCTTTTACAGATGGGTTTGGAAATGCCGTGTTGGTTTATGTTCTCTTTATTATCTTTTGCATTTTTCAGGAGATTAAACCTGATAATACAATTCAGGCCACAAACTATAACAGCGCTCTGAAGACCAAGTTCATCATTCCTGGCTATCTGGAGACAGAAAATGAGGACTGGCCACAAGAAATGTGCAAGGTAATATAATGCAAATTTTAAATTGACGGAGTATTTAGGAAATACTGAGTAAATAAAACACATAGACTCGTAGGGACACCACCGTCTGTCTGCTTTGTTTCAGTTGAATTCATTCATCTCTTAAAATATTTAACTTAAAACAGTTACAAAAAAAGTCTTAGTTGCTTAAACTTAGCAACTTTTGCTAGTTGTAAACTAAAAAAGTCTTAACTTAGCAACTTTTGCTAGTTGTAAACAGTTTCTTGAGGCTACACAAGTGAACTAGACCTGACCGAGCTTGATTTCCATCTATTTGATGTCGATGATCTTTCGTCTGTGCAGGTCATGGTATCGTGGGAAAATGTGAACTGCATCGCAGTGGAGTGGAAGAAAGGTGTGAAGACTCAGTACGCCCAGGCTGCCAATAATGCCAGGGTAGTAGGATCCCAGGTGGCACACATGACCGCGTTCCTCATGGTGAGTTGAAGAGAATTGGTCATCATAGTAAATCATTTAAATGAAAAGATTTTTTTTTTAGGATCAACGTCATACTTTCATTTTCTGAGAAACTTTATTCAAATGTAATTTTTTTTCTCATACAAAAAAGTTAATTACATCTAATTTAATCTAATGTAATTAATGTTTTTGCTAAACAATACACAAAACCTCAGTTGTTCAGTTAAAAGTGACATAGACTTAGAGTTAGACTTCCATTATTGTCATTTAGATTTAGATCACAATGAATTTATGATGTAATTGGCTCGTATTGCAGCCAGAATGGAAGGTACTTTATGCAGTAAAAAAAAAAAAGTATATGTAGCAAAATAAACCTAAAAATATCTTAAAGAAACCTGAACATATTTACACAAAAAAAAACTAAAAAAAAAACACAGTATTAATTTACAGATAAATATGAAAGTATTGCACATACAATTGACATCGCACAAAGTCTTGCTGCAGTATGACATTCAACAGTCTTAGTGGGAAGAGGCTGTTACTGAGAAGACACAGTGACAAATGGAAAATCCGTTTCTCTAACAGTATCTGTGTGTTTTTTGCTCGACGCAGGTCAAATTCAGACAGACGTCTGACAAGTTCCACATCATTGGACACTGTCTCGGAGCTCACGCTGCAGGAGATGCTGGGCAAAGGATCCCTGGAGTTGCACGCATCACAGGTACAGGCGATTGTTTAATGGCATCCGTCAAATTAGTACATGCAGTACAATTACTTTATTAGGTCTGGATTATACATTTGGATTATAATGTTTTCTTGTCTCTGTATTTTAAATTACAACAACATAGATACAGTAATTGTTTATTTTATATATATATATAATATATATATAATAGAATTTAACTCCAATATATGTATACAATGTCTGATTCTATTTGATATTTGTTTTAGAATCTGTTTGATTTTTTTTTTTTTTTTTTTTTTTTTTTTTGTCCAAATTTTTTTTCTCTTTCTCTGCGTAGGACTGGACCCGACCGAACCTTACTTTCTGGACACGGATGCCTCCGTGCGCCTGGACACTAGTGATGCTACCTTCGTGGATGTCATTCACACAGACGGACTTCCTTTCGGCACCAAACTTGGTACATATTCACGGTGAAATCTGGGCTTTTCTTTTTCTTGTCACACAAGACAAAACAAACCCTCTTAAAAAAGAAAAAAAAAACGATATCAGCAGAGAGAATTCTTAACGTAAAAATGTTTAATAAAAACAATATTTTTTTAAATATATTTTTCGATCTCAGGTCTTGGTATGTCCCAGCCTGTGGGTCACATCGACTTCTACCCTAATGGAGGAGAGGTGATGCCCGGCTGCTCCGCTAACAAAGGCAGTGTCTCTGATCTGGACGCTGTCTGGGAAGGTAACAGAAAAGGACCTCGTCAACAGATTTGGATCCAGTCAGATCCCCCCCCCCTGACCTGTATAACTTCTTCCGCCAGGTAAAAAGAAATTCAATTCCTGCAACCATGTCCGAGCTCACCAATACTACACCGAGAGCATTGTCAAACCCCAAGGATTTGTGGCTTTCCCCTGTGCTAACAAGGACGCTTTTGCTGCTGTGAGTTTGACGAAATGTGGACCTAAGATGTCAATTCTTGTTTCCACGTTGGGTCCAAAATGTTTTTTTGGGGTTTTTTTTTTTTTACAGTTTTACAACTGTTTTTTAAAAAAGTTGTCCAAAATATATTCTCCTGACTCTAAAAAGGCTCAAACGCTGTCGAGTACTTTAAAAAGAACTAGAACAGTGCTTACCTCCCATGACAGTTTGAGGACATATAATGTATTTGTGAGAAGTTTCACTGATTCACTGACTATTTCATGCAAATGTTGCATCCAAAAAAGCTATATCTCGGTCACAGAAAGGCCATTAGTTGCGCACAGAAACAAAACAAGAGTGGAAAATGGACCGATTTAAAGCAATGTCTGTCTTTTGTACATTTAAATTTACATCGATTACTTGACATTGGGTGTATTTTGACAAATGATAATAGGATACTTTCTATTCCGGTACGTTAAAGTCTCAGGGATCATTTCTCACTTTGCTCCTGTTTTTCGCAGGAAAAGTGTTTCCCGTGTAAAGACGGCAGTTGTCCAACGATGGGCCACAGAGCCGACAAGTTCCCTGTCAGCGGTGATTCAAGGACAAGCTACTTCCTGAACACAGGGGATTCACAGCCCTTTGGCCGTAAGTACCAAAAACTATTCAAAGAACAGTAAATCAGTCAGGGCAGAGTGGAGACATCTATCTATCTATCTATTTATCTATCCATCCATCCATCCATCTATCTATCATCCATCCATCCAAAATAAATTCTTTAAGCCAGTGTCATAAACAGCCAACATTGTCAGCCTATAGATGAAAGAGTATATATAGATATATATAGATGGATGGATGGATGGATGGATAGATGGATGGATGGATGGATGATAGATGGATGGATGGATGGATGCATGGATTGATGGATGATAGATAGATGGATAGATGATGGATAGATAGATATATACATACACTCAGTGATCATTATATATAGATAGATAGATATTTAAATATATATATATTATTTAAATTATATAGTTTAATCAATTATATTATTAAATTATTTCAACCACTGCGCATATTTTTCATTAGTAAAATCCCAAAGGCGCATCACCAAACAAAAGTCGTGTGAAAAAGTTGGGTAACACAATCGAATGATCTTCTAGTTTCAATTTACTAACTTGTTGTGAAACTGCCTGTTTAGTTGAACACAACCCTCCTCTGTAAATTGTAATATACTCGCAGGAATTGAAGAAAGACACCCAAAAGATTCTTTAACAGCTTATGTCCTTTTTTTTTTGTGTGTTTCCATTTCATTTCCAGGTTACAGCTATAAAATGAAATTAACTCTGGCTGGTCCCAGCTGGCCTAACCCTGGTTACATGTATGTGTCACTGACTGGAAACAGTGAAAGCACTCAGGAGTACCAGCTTCATGTGTAAGTGTGTTCACGTTCGCTGGCGGAAGCGTACTCAAACAGTGACATCCAGCCTTTTTTTTGTATTACGACCTGTGGTGTTTTTGTAGTAGTTAAAAATGTAAAAGTAAATATCCACTCCTAAAATACATTTAAAAAAATAAAAATAAATAAAATGTGCAAAAATATAACCCAGGTCACCATGGTAACATGGATAATGAGATTTTAAAAAAAAAAATTCTAATTCCACTGCTATATTGATTGTATTTGTCCTCCATATTCCATATTCAAAGCAATTACAATATACTATAAAATACCATCGTTTTGAAACGTCTCTTTATTCTAGAGGAACACTGATGCCTGGGAGAACCTATGAGTTGCTGATTGATGCCGAGGTGGACGTGGGGGATGTGACGGAGGTGAAGTTCCGCTGGAGGAACCACATCCTAAACCCCATGAGGCCCAAATATGGAGCATCTAAAATTGAACTGCAGAGAGGAAGAGACGAGAAGATGTGAGTTTGGGTGGAAAATGTACTTGCATCCCTTTATATTACACACGCAGACGCAGTCACTAGATCATATTTGATTATTAATTAATTTATATATTGATTTAATTAATATATGAATAATTAATTAATATATTTAATATGTATTTATGTGATGTGTTAAAGTGTAGATGACAACAAATGAATATTTAAAACAAGGAAAAAAAATATTCAGTGGCAGCTGGTCAAATATGTTTGACCGGATAGTCTTGGAAATATTTCATTCACAGTTCAGTCGGCATAAGTGCGTTCTTTTTTTTCTCTTTCCAGATTCCTGTACTGCGGAACATATAACGTGAATGAAGAAGTGGTCCAGTCTGTGCTCTCCTGCCCAGTGTGACGGTCATAACCATCGTGTCTATAAGGTCCTTTTCAGTAAACATCCAGTCGATACCTTCATCATTGTCTGCTGTTGATTTTGTGTCAGTAACTGTTTATTCCTGGAAGGGAAGGAAAATAGTTGTATGGCTGTTCAGACACTTAAGTGGAGGAGATTTGTAGGAGGGATCAGAGTGGACGTCAAGGAGAGGGAGTGATTAATGAGACACAACGAAAAGAGAAAGCTACAGCAAAAAAAGGAAAATAAAAGATTTTAAATTGGAAAGAGGTTTAAAGAGGATAGGAAGCATCAGGTGAATCTGGAGAAGCTACGTAAGGTGAAGTGTATAAGTGCAGTGATGGAGGCGGGTGCAGAAGTCTTATGATACACTCTTTTTTCCTGCATTGCACCAAATCAACTGAAGTTTCAGTTCTAAACACTAGATGGCGAAAGACACAATTCACCTATGCTGGTGTGTGGCCTGTGGCCTGTAGATAAATATATATTTATCTACATATATTTGGATGGGTTAATATATATATTTGTCTATATATATATGGACAAATATATACTATATATATATACAGTATATATATATATATATGTCTATATATAGAGAGAGACAAAGTTATGATCCTTTAGGTATGTCCTTAAGAGATACCTCCTAAGGTATCTCTTAAGGAGATATATAGACAAATATATATATATATTTTTCTATATATATATATAGACATATATATATATACCGTATATATATAGTATATATTTGTCCATATATATATAGACAAATATATATTTGGACAAATATATATATATATTTTTCTATATATATATATAGACAAAGTTATGATCCTTTAGGTATGTCCTTAAGAGACATATATATTAGACCAAGGAAATTGGAGTAGGAGCTGTCAGACCTGAGGAAAAGAGGAACACGCCACAGATGATTTATGGATACAGTCAGAGATGACACGGGGATGGTTGGAATTTTGGAAGGGCATTACAGTTTTGGCCTGACACGTGCTGACATGACGCAGTCTCAGGGACACAGTCAGGGTCAAGCAGCTGTTTGTCCTTCACGCTGCTGATAAGTTGTCCCCTTACGTCTTACCATGACCAAGAGTTGATGACGCAGACACCCTATCTGCAAAACATAAAATAAATCTCCTCTGTTATTCGTGCTATTTCAATTCATGAATTTAATGCTTTACTATCAGAACAGACTGTTCCCTGACCGGGTTAAAAATTCACCACTCAGTCAGAGGAGTCTAAAATAAAAAGAAATCTGGAGCACAAATATAAATTATTGAGTGTTGTCACTAAAATACTTCCAAATACAGCAGAATAGGAATATTCATTTTATCACTATTTTATCACTTTTGAGTACATAATACGAAGGACACGAGATAACTCAGATAATTATTTATTAGTAATTCTCTAAGTCCTTGGAGACAAAGAATCCATTTGTTTGTGTGAAGTGTTAGTGTTTAGCCTTTTTGTTGCCTTACTGAATGTCCTCTAGACCAGGGATCCTCAACCCCCGATCTGAAGGTCATTTGGTACACAGTGGGACACAGTAATGTACTTCAGTTTTACTAATTTACTTCATTCCAAAAGAATCCAGTCATATCCCTTTACTTCTTTCATTCAAAGATAATCTGGTGATGTTTCAAAAAAAAACAGCTCATTCAGACTCTGATACTAACAGGTGATGTTTCAAAAACAACAGGTCAATCAGACTCTGATACTAACAGAATAAAGTCTAAAAGATGTTTTATTTTGAAAATGTAATGATCCTTCAATGATAACGCGGTATTACCGGTCTGCAGTAATGGTTGGTACCGGCCGATCAGTCCATACATTTATGCACATTTACCATTTTTGGCATAACACAAGGAGTGTATAATACAATGAAGTGTTCAATATTTAAATAATTTAAGGATTAAATCTGCACCGTTGCAAACCGTGGCAGAGCAGTGACGAGCAATACCAACGCTTGAATGTCCGTTTTCTCAACATCCTGAGGTCAGCCCTGGGTCAACAGTCATTTGAGCAGGTGTCTCAGTTGGTCCTGGAGGTTTTTGGAGTGTTCCAAGCTGGAGAATGGAAACAGATGTCATCATTACTTTGTGTTGCGACTCGGAAAGAGAACAGCGTGCGAGTATAACAACAACAAAAATACTCACTTTTTCTGGATCGCCTCCTGCCTAGTGACACAGACACACAGCAATAGAAAATGTATTAATTTGATTTGTATTTTGAAAACAGACTTTGACTATCTATTTTTAATTTTTAATTTACCATTTTAAAGTTGTTTTGCATAAATAGATGTTTTATTCTTAATGCCAATAACCATTTGTGTTTAACTACATGAAACCTGCTGTAATATTAGAAACACTGGGTACTTTTGATACGTTCCACTAACTACCTTTAATTCTTATTTGCTAATACTTACTGGTACTGTAAGTGCGTAGTGATGATGGACATTTTCCTCAGACTCTAGAAAGCAGATGAGTCAATAGGTTAGTATGAACAAGGTAATTAGCAGATGTCCAAACAATTATAGACTGCACTGGCCTAAGGGAAACATAACTGTACACATATTAGTAAAAAGGGGATAGAACTTATATAGAATATACAGTGGGTAGGAAATAATACTGAGTTAAGGGAGCTCTATTTCACTTAATGACAATATGATAGTATTCCATTTTCGGTCCTGAAATTTTGAGCCATCCCTAGTAAGAACTATAGCCTCATTGCCACCAATATTTCACCAGCAGGTGTGCTGTTGTTTAGAAAACAGAAAATAATAGAAGACTTTGGGCTAACGTTCGCTGTCTAACTTTTGCAGCGGTGCAGCTCTGCTCATTTGTATGACACATATAATAAGTATCTTGAAATCTTTCAAAAGGTTAGAAAATCAGAAAACTACTAATAAATTGGCCGGTTGTCACTTTTTAATGATCAATTTACAAAATGTAGTTAGCCTGTTTCGCAACCTTCTGCTAATATACAGTAGCATGCATTCTTTTTTCTTAGTTTGGTTTTAAAATTGAATGTAAATGGTCTACTTTTTTATACATATCTGACATTTGTTTATTATTTTATCTAAAATCGTTTTTGTCGAACAATAATACTTAACACAGCCAGTCATTTTCCCAGACAGAGGAGGCAAGCAAACTAGCCAATCAGAGGTTGAGGGGGGCGGGCCAAGCGTGTTCTAACCCTGCTATTGTTTTGACGGATCTGGCCCCCGAACAAATCTTTTTTTTTCTTTTTCTTTCAGTAGACAGTGCAAACGTTACTTAACCCATCCAAACTCTTAATTCAAAGAGAATATATATACATATAAAAAGCCGCGAGTATGAATATTTTTAATATTTTAAAGGAAACACGTCTGCTGGTTATTGGCTGATACCGTAAATATGACTCGTATTCTGTTTGACCTTTTTGAAGATTATAAAATTAGAATTAGAAAACTAATAGCTGCATTTTAACTACTTAAAACAAATCTCAAATACAACAGAGAAAGCTGTTGCGATGCAGACTTTATTTGAACAGCTTTGAATACACTTCCGTCGTTCACTTCCTGTAGTGTACCACCAGAGAAAATATGGCGACAAACGTCTGCTTTATATTCACCTCCTGGCTGCGTGATCCTTTGAGCACCTGGCGGGGTAGTGCAATCACGTCCCCGCTACAGCAGCCCACTTTGTCGGATAATAAACCTTTTACTGACTGACCGAACCGCGACTGCGACTCTACGGACGCCATCTTATGTTTTGATCTGGCAACGGTGTGCCGCGAGGGTCAAAATACCCAAATCGGGTAATGCGCTTAAAAAAAATAAGCTAAAAGTAGATTCTGGATTAGATTAATTTGACACTATAAAAAAGACAATATAATGTAAGTCAAACTCAAACACGCACACATAAAAATAAAAAAGACAAGGTAACCACATTATTTATTGTTCTTTCGTTAACTTTTTTCTCAGTCTCTTTCTGCACGTGCTTGTGTTTTGTCTTTCAGTGGACAGTGATGTGTCTCCCCGTGTTTTTTACTTCTTTTACCACTTGAGGTAAACTCTTTGTATTTTCTTGGAATTCTTTATGTATATTTTGGCTAACTCACTTCATGTTTTGGCTCACTTTTTGTGTTTCCACCTCGTGGAAACCAACTTTTAGCCGTTAGCCTTTAAATTATTATTATTATATATATTACTTTCTGTAGAATTTTAGGTGCAAATATCTCATGGGTCAATCTGAATTAATGTGGTTGATTCTAATGTTGTTTTTATACAAGGGTTTAGTAAGTCAATTGTGGCCTTATCTTGTTTGAATTGCCACATGAGCTCATAATCAGAGTCAAGGATGTGGCATTGAAGGTGCAGGATATAAGTGAGTTCCTTGAGCACGTTGTACAGTGTGCAGCGTCTTTCTCTGATGCTCTGTTTCTGCTCGGTCAGCCTCCTCTGCCGGGGCCTCTTTCTTTTTCCAGATATGGCATGGTTTCTTTATTTTTCTCTGTTTTTGGTTGTGTTTTTAGCATTGGTTGCCTTGGGTGTAAAACCCCAGCCTCAGGAACCCCCTCACCTTCCGTCATTGCCTCTGATCGGCAGTTTGCTCAGTCTGTGGAGCCCACTCGCTCCCTACATACTTTTCAAGCAGTTGCAAAGGAAATATGGACATATATACTCTCTGAAGATGGGCTCGCACCATGTAATCATTGTCAACCACTACAAAGATGCCAAAGAGGTGCTGTTAAAGAAGGGGAAGACATTTGCAGGACGTCCCAGAACGGTGAGTGGACGTTTTCCTCACCCCTCGGGTGCTGATTAGATTTAGATTAGATCGATTAGATTATTCATGTTTAGTTCCCTTTTTGTTTCTGGGTTTATCAAGGTGACAACAGATATTCTGACCCGAGATGGGAAAGACATTGCGTTTGGGAACTTCAGTGCAACTTGGAAGTTCCACAGAAAAATCGTTCATGGAGCTCTGTGCATGTTTGGAGAAGGTTCCGTCTCTATCGAGAAAATCAGTGAGTCTTGGTAGTTTTCTACTTTAAACACTGTGAATCTATGTCAAACAATGAAATGTAAATGTCAAAGGGATTTACACGAACTGGAATGAATGAGTGATGGGCCGCTGTGTGTTCTGCTCCAGTTTGTGCTGAGGCCAAGACTCTGTGCTCCGTCCTCTCCGAGGCGGCATCTGCTGGACACTCCCTGGATTTGTCTCCCGAGCTGACGCGAGCTGTCACCAATGTCATCTGTTTCCTGTGCTTCAACTCGTCGTACAGCCGCGGAGATCCAGAATTTGAGACGATGCTAGAATATAGTCAGGGCATCGTGGACACTGTGGCAAAAGACAGCCTGGTTGACATCTTCCCCTGGTTACAGGTAAGACGACTGAATCAAAATATCTATTTGTCTTACTACTCTGGGTGTGCTGTAAGGCAGGGGTCTCAATGTCAAATGATATTAATTGATCAATATTTTTTAATAATAATAATATACTAGTGCAAGATAGATGAAGACTCCATTGAAGACTCCATTGAACCCAAATGTATGTGCAAGTTAGATGTAGGCGATGTGCCACTGTAAGGGAAGATCCCTTGAAGACTCCATTGAACCCAAATGTATATGTCAAATGTATAAACAGTATATATTGTGTTTCTGATTTTCACCTTTAGATTTTTCCTAATGCCGGCCTGCGTCTTCTAAGGAAGTGTGTTTCAACCAGAGATGCACTTCTACAGAAAAAATATGATCAACACAAGGTAAATAACGGGTATTCAGTCATTAATAAAAAATCTATTTTAACCTATATATCTTAGGTCCATTCTATATATCCAAGAATGGACCTGGATAACAATTCAAGCCAAATTAAGCAAGACTATTTAGTTACTTGTATAAATTCACCTCTATTACTACATTATTAAATGTTTTTTCTGTTTAATAGAGTCAAAGAGTCTACGAAATGAACCATTGCTAAACCCAATGAGTTTTTAGGTATTAGCAGATTTGTATGAAACTAGTTGAATATGTTGATATTCTCCAAACACTTAATTTCCGATTCCGATATCAACCGATAACAATATAGCGTTGCAGTTGTGGTCTGGTGGTTAAGGAAGTTGAGTGCCGCCTGTTCACTAAGGTGATGGGTTAAAGCAGTGTTTCCCAGTTACCCCTCTGCTGACACCAGCATTCTGCATACGATCCCCTGATTATTAAAATGAGTTGCAATGCTGCCCTCTAGTGACTTTCTCTTTCACATACAGCCGTTTTTCAGACATCATATGGCAAAACCCATGCATTGAATTATCGGAGGAAATATCGGTAACGATTCCTACAGATGTTACATAACTATGCTAATATCGGGCCATTAATATCGGTCAGTAGATATTATCGGACATGCCTTTAGGAAGCCCTTTGTCACTACCTCTAAAGTTACTCTTTAAAATGCAACGCAGCATTACACTGTATCTAAACTGATATGATTCCGTCCACATTGATAATCCATTAGGTAGACTACAGCGACCACGTGCAGAGGGACCTGCTGGACGCTCTGCTCAGAGCCAAGCGCAGCGCTGAGAACAACAACACAGCAGAGATCAGAGACGAGGCGGTGGGCCTGAGTGATGACCACATCCTCATGACAGTCGGAGACATTTTTGGAGCTGGTGTGGAGACCACCACCACTGTTCTTAAATGGGCCATCATCTACCTTCTCCATTATCCACAGGTAAGCATCACGCATAAACATCACCAAATAGAAACATAGAACGGGAACATCATTCAATGCTTAATCTGCCATCTGCCGTGTAAACGTCTGTGTGTGTGTGTGTGTAGGTACAGAGACACATCCAAGAGGAGCTGGACACCAAGGTGGGTAGTGGGCGCTCACCCAAGCTCTCCGACAGAGGAAATCTGCCCTACTTAGAGGCCACCATCAGGGAGGTGTTACGGATCCGCCCCGTAGCCCCGCTGCTAATCCCTCATGTAGCGCTAAGTGACACCAGGTAGTTTGCACTCATTCACAGTGTCTTTTTTTTACAATAACATATTTTTCCAGTATGATATGCAGAATTTTTTTTTATTATTATTATTTTTTAAACATATTTTTCCAGTATGATGTGCAGAATTTTTTTTTATTTATTTATTTTTTTTGTAATTGCAGTCTCGGGGATTTCGCTATAAGAAAAGGAAGTCGTGTAATCATCAACCTGTGGTCTCTCCACCATGATGAAAACGAATGGAAGGATCCTGAACTCTTTGACCCTGGTAGGTGGCAGTTCACTGTCATAGACAGGAGTCTGCATAATAATAATAATAATAATAATAATAATAATAATAATAATCATCATCATCATCATCATCATCATCATCATCATCAGAATCATCAAACTTCCTCCCTCTCTAATCCAACCCATCAAGTACTACACTTAGTAGTTGTAGGCCCCCTAGTGGTGACTATTTGTATATATAATTTTATATTGATTATCAAATATTAAAAGACTTAGTAGTGGGTAACTGTATATATTTTTCTGCAGTAAAAATTCCAATTTCAGGAATACCAATAAGGATTTTTCCTTTTTAAAATGTAATATACTGTAATTTAAAATATATTATTGGCATATATTTTTCTGCAGTAAAAATTCCAATTTCAGGAATACCAATAAGGATTGTTCTCTGAAAGTTGTAATCTCACTTCACCCGTCTTCTCCTTCTACAGGTCGCTTCATTGACAGTAAAGGAACAGGTCTGATTCTCCCGTCGTCCAGCTACCTACCATTTGGTGCAGGGATCAGGGTGTGTCTGGGTGAGGCCTTGGCCAAGATGGAGCTTTTTCTCTTCCTGTCCTGGATTCTGCAGCACTTCACCCTCTCTGTGCCACCAGGAGATGAGCTGCCCAGCCTGGAGGGCAAATTCGGTGTGGTCCTCCAGCCGGCCAAGTATAAGGTGACAGCTACGCCCAGACAAGGCGGGGCAATTAACGAGGGCGAGACTCTTTGATATCTTGACTGTTTTCCACAGACCGAACAATGTGGCCAACAGACTGTAAATAATAGTTTGTGGTATCCATTAGAAGAAATACATCCACACATGTACCTGACTTTTTTTTAAGTAGTGGTTTGTCTCTTGGTTACACTACAGGTTGAATAAAGAACTTACTAGACTACTTAGTAATATGAAGAGCTACTCGTTGGATACTGACTTCCTGAACAATGTATTAATAGTTAGTTCTGGGACATACAATAGTAGACACTCTTCCTACGATCATCATTGCAACCATTTGAATATCATTGCAAGTGGAACTAATTTAACCAAAGAAAATAGTCTCTACTGGTGGTTTTTAGTTATTATTTACAATCAAAGTCAATTGTCATTTATAGCTGTAGTGCTTCTTTATTTAGCAAATGAGTGAACGTATACATATATTGCAGTTATACTGTGTCATGTATTATTTCTTCATCCAATAACGAAATGAAATGCTTACTGTCGTAGTCAGTGCTGCCTCCCCATGGTGATTCTTACAAAAGGAGGAGGTTGTATTTTATATTTTTAGGAATATCAAAAATGTGGTAATGTAAATATATATAATATACATGTATGTACATATAGCAACCAGATCCCATCATATTGAGATCCAATAACGTATGACTAGATTAAGAGGCGGGCCAAACTTAATATTTATTGAAAAATTGTGCGTGTTTTCCCTTCTCTCCAGATGTGTAATGTTGATTTTTTTTTTTTTTCATATGGAAACAAACTGTAGTTTTGTGTAAACATTGAATCTGGAACAATCAAAGCTTTATATTATAAACGAGAAATTAAATTTAAAAATAAAACACACATCAGTAGTATGTGGTTCTTAGGTCTCTTTATCTGTAGTGCTTTTTTATTCTTTTTTTTTTTACAGGCCAACAACAACAGAAAAAAAAACCAAAATGTATGAGCTATAACATAGCGCAGGCTCCACTTATACTACAAATCCTTTCAGTATATAGGGGCTATATACTGGCGGGCCAATTCTAGTACATATTTGTGTTAATCTCACAGGCCAAATATAATTACACTGCGGGCCAGATTTGGCCCCCGGGGCCTGAGTTTGACACAACATTGTTTCACTGTTGACTCAGATTAACCTGATGCTGCCACATTCTGAGTCTGGATCTGTAACTGAAGTGTTCTCCACACTGTTGTTGTCTCAATCTCAAGCTATCTTAGCTTAGCTTCCTCTCTGATATGTTCACTTTTATTGCCATTCATCCTGGAAAATTCAACAGGAGGGAGGTAGATATGATTGTGAAAGTGATATTACTGATGTAACAGACACAGTTGAGGTTAAAGATTTTGGGGGATTTTTTTTTACAAGGCAACGTTAGCATGCTTTAAGCATGAAGTAAGGTAGTGGTTCGCAAACGTTTTTTATACTTTTATTTCTAAGGCCGTATTGCAAACCAACAAACATGCTATTCTTATTTGAACGTAAGAAAAATTAGCATTAATATTACGACTGTGTACAAAAAAAAAATACATCAATACTATTTTTGTAAATTAGTTGATCTGAGAGACTTGCACGTCCTTGAGGTTCGTCAAGATATTTCGTAAATCAGAGGCACAGAAATTGACCAACCAGAATGCAGTTCAGAAGGAAAATGGCATTTCTAATGGTTGGCTTGAAAATGCAATAAATTCCATTTTTGGGGACTGGAACCAACAATTGTTAACACAACCGATGACTGCACAAAAGGGAAAAAAAAACCCAAAAACATTTACATATAAACACATGTACAAGTCACATTTCGCAGTGACATTAGCAATATTTAAAAAAAGTTGGGTTTTTTTTCTGTGGAGGAAACTGTCGGCTGCAGACCACAGTCTGCAATTTTCTAGCAATTCTACTGCGTCGTTGGGCTCGTTGCCAACAGGAGGTTTGATCGTATTTAAGTTTGCATGTTGTGTGCAAACAAAATGTATCTCCTCGGTGAAGTAAGACCGATCAAGGACGTGCTCAACAACCTCCTCAGACATGATTTCATTGTAAATGTCCAAGTGCCATGTGTCGTGTCATGGCTAGGCTTTGCCCTTGCCACGTGTCGTGTCATGGCTAGGCTTTGCCCTGCTGCCATCCCATCTGAGCAGCCTCCACTTGATGTGTCAGGTACGACACTTCCTCCTCCAGCTGCCTTTGCAGTTTGTCCAACTTTTTAACCAACACTCTAATGCCGTCCTTACCTTGACCACCCTCATCCTGATTGGACGTTTTTGTCCTTGTCTTTTTGTCGCACGAATAAGCCTCTTCCGTTTTCTCCTCAGCTATTTTCCTATCCGTCTTCTCATCAAATTTGTGTCCGATATCTGCCAGGTGCAGCACTGACTTGGAATGACACCGTGTTATCCTGTCCATGCCATCCTCCAGCTGTTTCATGGTGCGGTTCCTCTGCTTTAGCAGTTGTAGCCTCTCTTCACAGTGAAAGCGCAGCGTGGAGAGGATGTCGCTGAGTAATTCTTTCTCCTTATTTGGGGTTTTTCCTTCACCGGCCTGAACGGCCGTGCAACTCTCGCTGTCTTTTTCTGCACCGGTGAACGGAGTAAACACGAGCTCCAGTGCGTCGAGGGTCTGCTGCTCATTTTCCAGACACGTGGTAATTTCAGCTAAATCGAACTTCAAGGTGACCATGTCGTTATTAACGTTAGAAATAGTTTTGGTCAGGAACTCACTTTTTAACTTGAGTTCTTGCCACGCGTCTTTGGGATCCTTCACGCTTTCCAAAATGTTGCTCTCGTGGGAAGTCTGCGAACTCGTCAGCTGTTCGGTCGTCTTGGGATGAGTCGGCGCTTCGTTGCTTCTGGGAGTTCCATTCAGTGTCGCTGCACTGCACTCCTCATCGGGTAGACTCTGTCTTTCGTTGAGACCTTGTTGCAGGTCCCTCAGGCTGTTTATCATTTGACAAACTTCATTTTCCAGAAATAAATTCCGGTCATTGGCATGAGTCTTGTCACACCTTTTAAAACAGTTCACTAGGGTCCTGACATTTTTAGTGATTACGTTTCCGATGAAAAAACTAAGGATTATGTAGGGCATTTCACTCCCTTGTTTTCCTTTAATGTGCCACGGTCACGAACGTTTAAACTTTAATCGATGGACAAACACATCAAAGACGTTTGGAAAAGATCAAAGGCAAAAGCTCTATTTGAAACATGATGACATCAGCACTGCTATAGCAGTGTTTCCCAAACTTTTTCTTTTCTTTAAAAGTCACAAACCTTCTCAACCCAAGTCGGTACACATTATTCGTAAACTCCTGGGAAACATGATGCGCGACGACCCCCCCCAAAAATATCTTGCGACCCACCTGAGGGCCACGACCCAGTCTTTGGGAAACAATGTGCTGGGAAGCGTCTGTAAACTAGGATAGAAAATGTCACTGTTGTTGGTTGGGATTTGATCATTAACAGTAGTGCATCATTCTGGGTGCTCAATATTTTATAGTTGTAATGCATTAGAATAAATACAACAAGTTTATTAACATCAGTAGAGTAGATGAGGGAATACCTCATAGTTGAGCAAGCACCCCTGCGCGTGCGCAACCGACCACTAGGGGGTAAATATGATTAAAAATATATATACATATATGATGGCAGTTTGGAATGTTTTGGTTTTTTTAAATGAGATTTTCCACACAATAAAGACTGTAATAGAAGAATGTAAATAACTATTTCCTTTGTAAAAATTTAAATCAAACGCTGACATTTTAATAAATAAATACAGTCTATATATGTGTTTGTGTGTGTTATGTGTGTTCTGGTCATTTTAGCATGATTAAACAAAAAAAGCTTGTTACGTTTTTGTGCTTTTGGGCAGCCAGGTACGATGCCTACAATAACAATAACTGGCTCCTTATTTTGTTTACACTTCTCGTTGAACCGTGACGTCATCACGGTGCGGTAGGTTTTCACAATACATATAAAATATATAAAAGAAAAAGAATAATTAAATAACACAAGTAATTATCATTAATGTCATTAGAATAAACATCGTCATTATCATAGCATGTGCGTAAAATTATTAAATATAAACAAACGCTTGAATTAAGGACTGTAGTTCGACGAATTTTGGTTATTTATATAATACATGTAAATTTTATATAAATTAGACACATAATATTCCTAGAATGCCGCACTTAGCAGCGGCTTAGTGACTTATCGACGTCAAAACAAAGCTAACGTCATCAAAGACCGCCGGAAGTAGCTTTGCTCTATACATGTGATTTGTATTTGTCAGAAGAGGTGAGTGAGGAATAATGTGTGAAATAAACGAAGATTTCCATGACAGACTGGAGTGCGTGCAGGACGTAGAAGGGTAGGTAAATACGACATTTGTGTGAGGAAAAGGTTTAGCTTTATTTGCGGTGTGTGCGCGCCATGTCTCACCGCCTGTGTTTTGTAAAGCAAGACACTGTGAAGAGGTCTAACTTCATGTCCACTTGAAAACATATGACGGAGTTCAGCGGGACCATATGTAAACATGGCTAAGTCATCTGTTTTGTCTCCGGAACCTCGGGAGACAATAAAGGTCGTTACTGACAAAAACAATCCCTCTTTAAAGGTTAAAAAGTGCAATGGTTTTTGGCTAACTAGTCATTAAGTGGTGTAGTGTTTTTCCACATCTTATCGCTAGGAGTCGATGTGTCAAACTCATGGCCCGCGTTCCAAATGTGGCCCACCAAGTCATATTGTGTGTTTTTTTATTACTTAGAGCAATGAACAATATTTGACATTTGAAAAGACAATAAACATAAACACATAAGATAAGAGAAGTAACACTGTGTGGGCTCTGAAAATGTCTTCATTTTTCTCAGTGGTTTGAAGAAGTGCGTGAAATGCAAAGAGGCCAACGCATCTGTGGTCATCAAAGGGGGAGATGCACACTGCAGGTAAAGTCACCCACGACTCAGACTCTAGTGTTTGTAGAACATCTCTGTGTCTCAGTCGATGTAACAGGGAGGTATTAGTAACATCGCGTGTGAAACATGGATATGAATTATTCTCAAACTGTGTCTCTTCCAGGGCCTGTTTCAAGGAAAACTTCACTCACAAGTTCAGAGCCACACTGGGCAAAAACAGAGTCATTTTCCCTGGAGAGAAGGTAAGCTACCATTCTGGACGTACTATATTGGGAGTGTGAATTCAGATCAGCATGTACAATAGTTTATGTCACGCATTTATCATGTGATGTCATTGGGGATTTTTTAAACGACATATTTAATCATATTAACATGATCTCTGTTAACTTGCATCCAATGAACTGTTGTTTTGATGACGCTCCCTAACTGTCAGCTTTTCCTTTACTCATAGGTCCTGCTGGCTGTATCCGGAGGACCTTCATCCTGTTCGATGCTTCGTCAAGTCCAAGAGGTATATTTATATATATATTTAGAACATGTTGAGAGTTATTAAGTGAACCCTCACAAAAGCATGTTGGGTATTGAGATGGTATTCTAACGTTAAGGCAGGCCAAGAATATGTGGATATACAAATATATAAAATATATTTAGATAGATATTAAATATATATAAAATAAAATAATTATTATAATTGTAATGTTCGTTATTTTCACACTGACAGCCGCTAGAGGGCACACTAGGCTTGTGTACCACTATCTGCTACAGCTGTAGCATTGAAAATTTACATGTTCATTATTTTCACACTGACAGCCGCTAGAGGGCACTGGTGCAACCTCTACTCCAGAGTGACTTATAGTCTTGAAAATACGGTGTATATCTACAAATATATATCTTTGTATCTTTGACTTCATTTTCATTTTTAGTGAAATCTTTTTCCTTCCTTACAGGGCCTGAGTCAAAATGCTCACAAGAAGCTGAGATTCCTTCCCGGCATCGTTTACATTGATGGTGAATCTAAGAATCTGTTTTCGCCACTTTAAAAACATAGATATGGTTGTATACAAAAACTGATTGTGTTTGTGTTCGACAGAGGGTGGCGCTGTGTTTCGGTCTTCGGAGGAGAGACAGAAGACGGTTGCTCAGTTACAGGCCATTTTCAAGGCGACCGGTTACCCTTTCCACATAGTTCCACTGGAACAGGTAAGATAACCAATCTGGTAAGATAACCAGTCTACAGATGCCTAGATGTCGTAGCACTTGTAGCTGTAAAAATGCTGCCCTCGCTGCGTCTGCTCATTTCATCATATCTGATGTGGCTGTCATACCTGGGCAAATGAAAAAAAAAACATTTTGTCTATGTTTGGCAGAACAATAGAAATTATGAGCAAAGCTGTGGCCTTTCAGGTCACAGGTTAAAGGGACTATAGATCAAATCCATTTCAAACCTTGCTTTTAATTTACCTTTTACATTTTCCAAAATTAACCCAGGTTCTGGACCTCCCCAGTTCGACCATCTTGACGGCCCCGTCAGCCTCTCAGCCAGCTCATACCGGCGCTTACAAGACCGCTGTGGACCAGTTCATTCAGCATGAAATCAGTTCCTCCGCCGCCCGGGAGGTCCAGGAGGAGACGGATGTGTACGAGTCTCAGGAACCACACACACAGGCTCTGCAAAAGCTGATTGGCTCGGCGAAGACGCTTACAGCGAAGCAGGACCTGGTTAATACTTTAAGGTACCTGTTTATCAAGATAGTTTTTTTAATGTCTCCTATTATACTGGGTTATTTGCATTAAATTAAATTAAATTAAAAATTAAATAAAACGTTTGATGAACTGGTTAGCAGTTATTTGGATACATATCGTGCTGTAGGTGCAGGTTTTGAGCAATGTTCGTGCTCCACGCCACATGCAGTGACACACGAGCACCGACGCGTCTCAGCTGTGACTGCATGTCGTCTTTGACGGGACAAAATCATACAGAAAAAAAATTGGTCGGTCCAGGACAAAAGTCTTTTCGTGATAACTGATCCTCCACTAGGGGGCAGTGGTGGCTTGGTGGTAAGAAAACCGACTCGGGTCCAGAAAGTTTTAGGTTCATATTTAAAACCTGCTAAGTCACCACTTAGGACAAGGAGGAGGAACGGAAGCGTTTCATTGTCGACGTCTTTTCAGTCCTCTCCATTTTTTCACTCCTCACAGGCAGCATGTTCTGGTGCACACAGCTCGCTCGAAAGGCTACAGTAAAGTGATGCTGGGAGACAGCTGCACCAGGCTGGCAGTGAAACTACTCTCTAACATCTCCACGGGCCGAGGAGCACACCTGGCCCAAGACACGGTGTGTATGCGAGGGCTGTCTTACAGTAAAGATTGTCAGCAGATTATCAGATGACTTTTAAAGTCCAAAAAAAAAAATAGAATTCTCCTGATGTACCTAATGGCACACAAATGTGCCACGACCCGGTGGTTGAGAATCACTGATGAATAATTTAATAATCTCTGTTTCCGTTTCTCTTTTGTTTCACCAGGGTTTCTCGGACACCAGACACGGTGACGTTATTTTAGTCAGGCCAATGAGGGACTACTCTGCCAAAGAAATCGCTTACTACAATCACGTGTTCGCTGTACCGTCTGTCTTCATACCAGGCCTGGACACCAAGGTAAAGTCTAGTAGTCATGTGTTTGTAACTGAAGATGTCGGACTCGTACAACATGGAAAACGTGTTTAACTTTAAATAAGACAATATTAATGGACCTTCTGTACTACTCTCCACGACCTCTGCCCCGTTAGAACGCAGACAAGGCCAGTATCCATCGTCTGACCGAGAGCTTTGTCAATAAACTGCAGGCAGACTTTCCTTCCACTGTCAGCACCATCTACAGGTCAGTTAACATAATATGTTAAATATATTAAACACTTTTTTAGCTCCGGTGGGCCACATGAAATGACTAGGCGGGCCGCATTCGGTCCGCAGGCCTTATGTTTGACACACGACATACATCATATGTATCAGTTGTAAAAAAAAATCAGACGGTATGAAATATCACAGCCATGATTGTGAAACCTGCTGTAATTTGAAGTTACAAGAGGGTTGGGTAAATGTGATTATTGTTGACTCACGCAAGAATGTCCTGACAGAGAAGCTGTGTTTTCCTGCAGGACAAGTGAGAAGCTGCAGACAGTGTGTGGGAGCTCGTCCACTGCTGACCCCTGTGACCGCTGTCTTCTTTGTGTATGTGCTTTGGACACTGCTGATGGTGAGTGTTTAAGCCACTAAAGGGCGGATCTAGAGATGTTTATATTTAATAATGTAGGTTCTCTCTCTAATACCAACCTCCGACTGCCTAGCAAAGCACTGAGGCCAGAATGTCAATGTTCCACCTTAAGGACGCAATTATTTCACTGCAGTATTCAACTGTTAACATTGATTACAAAAAAAGAATCTTAAATTCTACTAGTAATAGTAAATATGCATTTATTCTACAATTTTTTTTTTTTTTTTTTTTAGAAATGAACCCTCACCATGTTACCTGTAACGTAGATTGGTTAAATATACAAATAATAATAATACAAATAATATACAAATGAGTCACTTAGTCACTTGAAAAAAATAGAATACCTGCATTACTTAATTAATAATTCTTAATTCTTCTTAATAAGATTGAAGACTTTAGAGACACAGCAGCAGTCTTTAATATTAACCATAGTGTCTTCTTTATTTATTTATTTATTTCAGACGGTGTTTCGGCTTTACAGGCGACCCTAACCTCAGAGAAACTGTCAAAGTTTCGTGGGAACACTCGACCTGGAATGCCTGTACTAATCTCAGGTACTGATGTGACCTTGCCTTGTTTTTCAGTAACAAACTAGATTAAACAGAGGTCCCAGCAGAGGTTGCTAGAAACGAGGTGGTCCACTTGATCCAGAATTTGAAATAGTTCTGCACATGCAGAGCTGTGCTGCACATGTGCAACTGTCATCTCCAGGAAAAATAAAGTTGAAAACACAAAGTAAAAAGAAAGCTGCAAAGGTCTTCAATTACACCTGCGACCATTTGTGCCTCCATCTTGGACAGAGATAGTCCAAGACCAGAAAGGTACTTCCTATTGCTTTCATCATTGTTGACGATGTTACTTTTAAACCTCCAGGAGAGCTTCGTCAATCTGCACCCACTGTACGTGACTGTCGCTCAGGAGAAGGAGAGAATTGTGGTCAAGCACAAGTTGGTGGAAGCTGCTGTTCTTCTGACATGTAAGTATTGCGGTATAAAAGTATTATGGTGCCTTTATTTTAGAGCAAATACATTCATATCATCGTAGCATTTTTGCTAGTAATTTTGTAATGTAGGTTTATTGTCTATTTCTATATGATTAGAATTATCTGATCAGCTTTGTTGAACATGTTTGTTCTTTTGAGGAAATGCCCTTATTCCTTTTTAAATTACCGTAAAAAAAAAAAACCAAAACCCTACCTAATAGATTTACAATACAGCAGAAATTGTTTTGCATATAAAGTTATAACATTGTGTTTCAACTTGGTAGAAATACCTACACATTTTTAAACACTACATTAGGCGGTTTAGGTTACTGGTTGAATGTTTTAATTTATACTTTTACAAGTAATGTTTTTTTTCTGTAGTCTTTAAAAAGCATGCAAATTGACTTGTGGTGCCATTAATTAATATTGTTATTGCAATTGCATGGAAAATCTTAATTTTGAATACCGAAATCGGAATTACACATTTTTGTAAATGAGGCCATAAATTAGCAGGAAAAAAAAATGCCAATGCTTTTATTTGTTCCGTTCGTTACAGGAAACCAGAAAAAACAGACCTGAAGAGCACGTTGTGTTACAGCTGTCAGCTGATCGTCAAAGACCTGGTAGGTCAAAACAGACATACCTAAATATATTTAATCCTATTAGGATTAGTCAATATGCATCCATCTATCCATCCATTATCTACCACTTATTCCTATGCAGGGCCAATGTATTTTAAGTGTGCATTTATATTATATTGTGACCTATTTAAGATTTTTTTATGGTGTCATTTTTACAGTCCTCAGTGGAGTGTCTCCCCCAGTACATCCTGTCAGAGGCTATGAGGAGGCAAAGGAGGTGAGGAAAAAAAAATTATATATATGTGTGTATATATATTTATTTTATATATATATGTATATATGCCGTACTATATATAAGCATAAAGTTACAAATTTACCAAATAAAATATAGTAGCATACAGTATACTCCTAACATTGTTTTTTTTTTTCTATTTTACAGGTCTCTGATGAGAAAGGAAATCAGTGAGTTCCTGCTGGACGATTGCACAGAGACCGATTAGACTCTGTAGTGCTGTATGACAGGCACTCATTGTCACATCTAGCTGTGGAAATTTTTTATTTTTATTTCTTGTTATATAATATTAAAAAAATAATAAACCCAAATAAGGATGTATAATTAAGCAAGGTTTCCTCACATTATTCTTTTATTTTTGTTGCCATAGATACATTCGTTTTTGCATAAGGTTCAGGGAAGAGCTGAGGTAAGCATTTTGAGAGGGGAGATGAGGGTGAAAAATAAAAGCTAGAGAAACGCTTGACTAACTAGTAGAGTAGTAGTAAATAGTTTTGGTTGGTTAAAATACTAGTGACCTAAAAGAGTGTAGTGACAATGTGGGAGGAGTAATTAGACCTTGGAGTTATTCAAGTTTTTCTTTACTAAAACCTTGGAAAATAACCAGTTACTAAATAATTAAAATGTTCTAGCTTTTGCCCCTGTATCGAACGTTGGACAAGAGAAGACACTTGTGACTGTGCCAGGCTCCGAACTTTGGGCTGTCGATCAGACGTCACACTAGGAGTAAAACCGCGACGTATCCTCCTTTTCTACACGTCATCACCGCTGGAGAGATTGTGACACTTGCTGCAACTTTGACGTGGAAAGGTGAGAGAAATAATATGACGCACAATTCTGGTCAACATGACGTGAAATACCAAATGCTAATCACTGAGGTGCCGCGAATAATTTGGTTTCAACCTCCAGTTTAGCAGGATAATTAGTCAGTGAACAGCAGCGCTCGTTCAACAACGCCAGGCTGTGTTTGGTCGAACCGGTCCGACCGAAAGCTGGGGTAACTAACCGGTCCCACAAAGATAGTTCTCAGTTGACTTTGTTCGACTCTGCTAATGTTTAGCTTCGAAGTCTACACACAAGTATTTTGAGGGGGCTCCGTGCGTAATTTGACGCTACTTCCGGTGTGTACGACGTAAAATGTTCCGGCTTTATATTATGATATATTTTATATGTTATACATTATGGTTGCAAAGTAATAAATTGTTAGTCGAGACATCTTAAATAACCACCACTAAGGGATACTGACAAACATTTTCTTTTCACAGTAGTTTATGTATTTTGTATAAACCTTTCCTACACGAACATAAACGTTATCAAAATGTCCAGTAAAGCTTTGTATGACAACACATTTATTCTTCACCTGCATTAGCCGAGTGAAAAAGCATTGAATATGGCAAAAAAACAACAACAAAAAAAACAAACAAACAACAACAACATGTAAATAGTTCATTTTTAGGTTCTCAGATCCCGTCTTGCTGTCTAGATACCTTCCACTAGATGTCAGTAATAATTTAACTTAGCTGTTGAGTTTTGTTGGTTATTTACACAGTATTACTTCAATATATACTGTATATAATTATATTACTACATAAAATAATTATAACATTTCACTAAAAAGAATAGTTCATGTGCACAATTATTTCAGAAATAATTTCAGGAATAAAGTTTTCAGTGAATAGAAAATTGTGTTGATTCAGAGCAGACAATGCTAAGAGACCAAAGGGGAAAAAGTTATTGATGTAATATTAAAGGAATAAGAAGGGGAAAGATATAGCACTATTAGTTTGATGGAATTCCTTTATGAGTAAAAATAATTTTGAAAGAATAAAAGAAAAAGCATTCAATAGTGAATCTATCATTTTTTTATGCACAGATTTTTTTATGCAGGGTTTTGATTTAGTGAAAAATGAGAAAATAAATCAATAAAAAATGTCATCACTGGGCAAAGAATAAGAATACCCCTGTTTTTGTAAAATTTCAAAACTCAACAAAAGAAATTTCATCATTTACGGTAGAGCAACACAATGATGCGTTGTTGTGAACTTTGTGTTGATAGGTACATGATGACTGAGGTATGTTCTCAGCAGTGGGGTGAGGTACCTGGCCTAGGAAAAGTGGACCTCTGGGTGCTTAAGTCTCCGTTGATACGCGTGGAAATACTTACTCTGGGAGCCATCATAAAGTCTGTTTACAGCAAGGGCAGTGATGGACAAATACAAGATGTGGTCCTGGGCTATGACGACTTGAACGGTAGGAGGAAGTACAAGTGTGATACTAGGAAAAAGGTAGCACCATAGGATCTTAGGCCTCAT